CGAATGTCACCTTCCATCATCCGACTCCTGTCGGCCGTCAATACGGAATTTGCCAAAAGCAGTGCAGTTGTAAGTGTTTACATATGCGATATGAATAATCTTCGAATAATTTTCTTTATCTGATGCGGTTTAGGATCAAAAGAGTACTACGGTTTCAAGTCCTAAGCCTCGCTCATTTCCCAACTACTGGAAACCGAAACGTATCGACCAGAAAAAGTTCGTTTTAGTTGTTTACGTTATTTAACAACTTCACATGTGTGTTTGAAGATTTTGGTTCTTCACGGTGCCAGTTGCTGAAGAAGCATGCGAGGACAATGAAGAGCAAGATGGGGATGCAAAGGCAGTTCCGAAACGAGCTCCCCTAGAACATGCTCACGTAGAAATGGAGCAAATCAATTTTACTCTTGAGGCTGGAGATAGTTCTGTAAGTCAAGAGACGCTGAATGTCTCCTTTCTAACAAAGTAATTTATAGGTCCCGGTACCTCTTCTCTTCATGCAAATATTGATGAATGCGGAGGCTTCAGGCTGGTCATCCGCTTTGCAAGCTTCTGCCGACCTCTCGCTTCAAATGTCCTATTATAACGAAGCCTTAAGGTGAAGATTGAAAAACTTTTTTCTGAATTATTGGAAGTTTCTTTCTCTTTCTATTACTTGAATATTCGTTTTTCCATATTAAGTAGTTTGAAATTCGGTCCTTTCTTCAAAGTTTTATATCTAGCGTCTGGGAACCAGTCATAGAGCCGGTAGAGGTTAGCACAGACAACTGGTCTCCCTGGAATCTTAAGATGACGGTTAGTTCTTCTCGAATGTGGACTTCTATTTAGTATTTTCTCCATTCTAGGTAAAAGGACGTAACAAGATGGATCCTCTGGACACCAGACCTGGTATGGATATAAAGATCGAAGCAGACGATATACTGAACCTTACCGTTACAAAGTCATTTCTCAGCTTGTTGAACAAAGTCTCTGAGGTGAGATAATCATGATGTTTGTATGAAATAATCTTTCCAAAACAGTTTGTGTGTTTAGACCTTTGCTCATGCTGCAAATCAGATCAGCCCCCCAACCACTCGCCAGCTTCCTGGAAGCTCTGCTTTCCTTGTTCTCAATGAGACTGGTATAATCATTAAGTTGACCGATACTGATACTTTGCAGGTGCGAAAACATATGGATGTTAATATTTTCTTAGAAAATTGGTTTCAGGTGAGCGAGAATGGAGAAGAGCTAGAAGCACCTCATGGTCGATTCATAGATTTGCGGATGAACAAGGAAGCAGCTGCGATGGCTGCAGAGTCGGTAGGTGGACTTTCAATTCACCACCATTCTCGTTTTTTTTTTCGTCCAACCGGGCTTCTTTACAGCAAGACAAGGAACGCCTTAGTAGCAACCAGGTGGAGCTAGGTGCGGATCTGCGCATAAATCTTTTGGACACGGTTCGAAATTTGAAAATTGGTCGTGCGGGTAAGGTCGCTATCCCTTTGCCGAAAAAGAGCGATGGTGGAAAGCAGTGGAAGGTCAGTGAAGTAGAAATGATGCGATCAACTTGGTATTTTTTAAGAAGTAAAAGCAGTTATAGATCATTGCCGATACGAGTATTGAGAACGGCCGTCGTCTGATAACCTTTACGTCTCATGTTAATGTGACAAATCATTTGGACGTCCCCATGGAACTCTACTCGAAAAACAACACCAACTTAGATTTGTTTGGAACTGTGGCTCCAGGAGAAACTTTGAATTTGGTAGTTCCATTGCTTTTCTCAGCCACTGGGGAGATCTACTTCAGGCCTGCTAATGATAAGTAAGTTATCTTGGTCAGTCAAATTTCAAGGTGAAAAAGTGTGATCTTTTTGATATCGTGCTTGCGACAGATGTATTACTATCAGTACAATTTTATCAGCTCAACGCATTTTTGTAATTTTACTAGCTTACCATTCTTGCCTTCCTAATTATTTAGTGCGTCGCTCACTTCTAGATGTGAAGTCAGTTTTGAGTCGGTGACATGGCATCAATTTTCCCATCAAATGCGACAAGTCATCCGATGTGATTTGAGCGAGGACACTACTCAAGGCTACTTTTTTGAAGCGGTTGTTTTGGAGGAGAAAGTTCGCGAAGGTTGATCTAATATTTGTAAAGTGTTAACATCATTTTCGACTTGAAATGCTACAATTTATTGTTTAGGTGTGGATAAGGAAACGGAGGTTTACTCGCTTCACTTGTACCCTCCCCTACAATTTCACAACATTCTTCCATTCCCCATTACATTTGAAATACCAGTGGCTATGGATCTACTGCAGGGCGAAAGCATCCAACTGAACATGGTACCAGGTCATCGCATGCGGTTATGGGTAAGAACTCCAGCTGTAGGGTCATATTATAATGCTTTCTTCGGCCTATGAGTTATCAGGCTTCATACTTGGGAGAAATGTACTCACTGGATATGACAATTCCTGAAGAAAAGCAAGATCTCCAAGTGGTTGCGTTGAATACAGACACCGGTTCTTCTGAGTTGGTGAGTTTATACTCTCCTATCTATATACATACTCATTTCTTCTGGATTTTTTTTACTTTGAAATCTGTTGAGCATTAAAACACTTGGACCAAGAATCAGCGTAGTTTTAAAGAGCTGTGTTACCTTATGCTCAATCATATCGGTTTCAGCTTTTGGGTATCCATTGGAGCACTGAACACGGAGATCTGAAAGCATACCTATACGCGCCATTCTGGCTCGTCAATAACACTTCAATGACATTGAAGCACATGGTTAGCGCGCTGTTTCGTTTATTTTCTAATTTTCTAGCATGTGTAGTTTTCCCAAAATGGAGCACTTACTCTCACTAGTTTTCCTTCGGAGCTTCTAGGAAAGCGGAGGGAACTTGCTGCGAAATACGACACAGTGTATGCCCTGCAGAAAGGCCCAACCTTCGCAACAGGTGAAGAAAAGAATGGTGCGGTCATGCTAACGATATAATAGTTAACATCCCCTTTCCACCTCTGTTTGAGATTCATTCGCCGTAACGATCGCAGCCGTATAGCTTAGCGTTGCACTGGAGTCGGGGCCTTCTGCGGGCTGTGATATTAGTACTTTATTTACGCACCGGTTAATTTTTCTCTTTTTATAGTGCCCACATCATGTTGACCCCGACCCCGAGCTGGAGTTGAGTTGGTGGTTTGAGAGAGTAGTCGTAGATTGCATGTAACGCTTGTCTCTTCTATTGTTTCTAACAACAGTACTGCTTACTGCACGCAAAAGCTTGCAAACCGTATCATATATCAGCTGTAGATGTAGAAGAAGCTCTATTTGTCCTGTAATTTCGGCGTTTTTTGTTGGCTTCATTCTGTATCCAATTCACGACAGTAACTATTTTGTTTTAGGAGTCTGAATATGCTGTGAAACACCTTCCAGATGATAATCCACTGATTCTACCTTTCCCGAGTACAGATTTTACCAGAAAGAAGAAGGTGCGAATCTAATCTAATTTCATAACTTAATTTTCTTATATTTTACCCTTCTTTTAAAACTTTGGGATATTGTTTGTTTTTCTCATAGTCTCGAGTGCTGGTGGATGAGGCCGGTGCGTGGTCAGAAGAGTTCCCTCTTGATACCGTTGGAAACCCGGCTCGTATTACTTGCAAAGGAAAAGACAGAGACTTTGAGGTGTGTCCATGCAAATGATTACTGCATCTAATCTGTTATGTCGTTCAATCGTGGGTTATTAGCTTACTGTGGATATCAAGCTTTGCCAATCTGGTTTGACAAAAATAGTTACTTTCTGCCCGTTCTATCTGGTCTCCAATCTTGGAAAATGGGACATGCAAGTCAGGGAAGATGGGCAGTCAACATGGGTAGATGTACCAGCAGAAAAGGTATTTTTCACTTAAATCGTACTATCCGTTTTCCAATCTCTGCCATCACAACTATATTATCTTTGCATCTAAGTGCGTCGGAATATGGCCTCAGCAAAGATCAAAACGGAAGCTTCTCTGTGCTAGATATGCGGGACAACAGGATGAGTCGCTTCTATTTCCAATTACAGAAAACCTTGAAACTCTCTGTCATGTAAGTGGCATGCTGTCTATTTGACATTTATTTCTTATCACAAATCCATTCATCGATGTGCAACAGCTGGTTCAGGTCGACAACGATAATATAGGCATAGGAGTATGCGTTTCTACCTCAGAATCATCCGTGGCTATCCATTTAACGCCGTTCCAACCTGGCATGGCTCCTGTGTGCATTATGAACCACCTCAACGTAGGATTTTTACTTACCTAGAAGCATTTCATATAAAATCATCATTGATATTGTAGGTTCCTGTGAATTTTGGACAGAGAGGACACACCATGGAACCACTGCCCAGCAATGAAATGGCTTTTTTCACTTGGGACAGCGTCACCGAGGATAGGATAATGCATGTTGGTGTTTAACTACCATATTGACGCTGAGTACTTTTATGTACAAATCCTAGTTTGAGAAAAAGGACTATGTATTTGTATATTTCTTCTAATTTTATGCATGCCAATCAAATGAAGGGAAAACCATGGTGATATGTTCGTTTCGCCATCATCTGTTTAGATTTTCTTCCTCACACTTCAAAATTTGCTTTCTCAAAGTGAATTTGATTGATACGTCTATTAACATGCATTGAGGTGTATTTCAGTTCACCGTTGGAGATTACAAAGGCGAAGACAAGCTGGATC